AAAAAGATAGCGAAGGAGGTTAGATGGGAATAATTGTGAGGGTATAAACAGTAACATGGTTTAGTTCTTGGTTGTTGATGAGTTAATGTTTAGCTGGAAGAGAGGGCATCTGAATGATGATGATGATGATAGTGATTATTGTTGTTTGCTAAAGGATTACCTGATGTTCGAGGAAGAAAAAAAGGTTAAAGAAGAAGAAGAGAGGGGGAGGGAGAAACAGGATCGGGGTAAAAGTGGCAACGTACTAAAATAGTTATTTCATTTTCGCTGATATTGCTGATTCCTGTAGACCGACGCTAAAAAGAAGTCGCTAAAGGGCATCGAAAAGGCGAAGGATTTTTTGTTGCTGTGTTTCATAAATGGGTCATTTGACAACTACACTGTACATTTATATAAATATGTATCATCGTTGTTGATTTTCTTTTTTTGACGTGGAATTTTCACATGTTTTCATTTTGATCGTCATCAACGCCATCACCATCAACTCCATCTTCATCTTATTCTGCTTCACCTCCATCTCTTCCTCATTCTCCTTTTGCTTAAAGCGTTATGTCTATTTGTTACAAAAGCTTTTTCTTTTGATGGGTCATTAGACAGGTTTTTTTTTGATAGCAACTTTTACTGACTAAGCTTTCGCCGCTTTTCAATGATGAAGAAGAAACAAAAGCGAGAAAAGAAGCTGCATTTTTTTAGCGGAAAGTTAAAAGACTTATGACAGCAGTTATCAGATTTTTTTCTCTTGTTTTTTTTTTTTTACCTATCAACCGGTTAGCAGTGATTTGATTCGATAGGGTATAGACGAATCGAAATTGATGCTGTTGTTGCTGCTATAAGTTTCAATTCCTTTTTTCTGTTTCCAAAGCATCTTAGTCATCACAAAGAAATACAGCAGCTGTAAACTGCACTGATCTTTGTAACTTTGAAGGTTGTGGAAAACAGATTATAATAGGATTTCAGTGTGGCTTTTTGAAATGATATGTAGCACCGGTTGTTAATGGGGTAATGGGACGGTATCCTGCGGTGGCAGTGGTGATGCTGGTTGTGATGCTCAAGTAAAGCATTTTTGTGGGTTTGTACGTATTGATTTGGTACCAGGTTTACTCAGGTTTTATATGAGGTATTTTTATTTATTTATTTATTTTTTTTTTTTTT